ATTTTATTTTATTTTATTCGTCGTCATCCTAAGGGTAGGACACCCATCCTGCAGTCATCAATGAAGACTAAAAGTAAGTATATTTTTATATCTACAATTTTTATAATAACTTCAATGGTTTTTTATTAAGACGATGACATTAATTGTTCTTTTTCTTTTTCTGTTTCAGAACATCATTGCAATCGAGCGCGTAGGCAATGAGGTACTCGTGTGTTGTATCGTGTTAAATTAAAATATAAAATAATCGGAAAGTAGAATCAGTGTTGATCGTCGCATGTTAAAAAAGTTTCGTTTGCTCGGGTAAAGAAACTCCGTAAGTTTCTTTTATTCGGTTAAAAAGTGTGCTCATCGTCATCTTAAGGATAGGATATCCATCGTGCATTCATCACTGAAGAATAAACGTAAGTCAATTTTCATATTAAACATTTTCTCAATACTTATAATAATGTTTTTATATATCACTGGTCTACATAATCTTGTTTTTATTTTTATTTCAGATCATCGTTGGAGAATACTGTCATTTTATTAATTAAATTCATTTGTAAATTCATTTAACACTAGATTTTTTCATTATTGTTGCTTTTACTATTTTTAAAAAACTTACAAACATTGTTTGAATAAAGAAATGAGTAGAGGGGAGGAATTAATATTTATATATATTTCATTATTGCATTCAAAATCAACATATATTTTAAAAAAATAATATTTAAATTTTATAAATATGTAGCATATATAATATATGTAGCAAAGAAATATGAAATTATTTAAATTGGTTTATTGTTAGTTTATAAATCTAGTGTTAATTGAATTAACTGCATGTAATGCAGTTGTAGAGTCAGTGCATTGCCATCGTCATCCTAAGGGTAGGAGACCCGTCATGCATTCATCAATGAAGATTCAAAGTGAGTATATTTTTCTATTCCATAATTCCACAAACATTTTATTGATTTTTAGTAATAGTAATGATATTAATAGTATTGTTTTTTTATTTCTGTTTCAGATTGCAATCGTGCGCGAAGCAATATTCGGGAGTGTTGTATCGTTTAAGTAAAATTAATATCACAGATTAAAATCACTTTCGCTCGTTCATTTCAAATCGTTCGTGTTACGCGATTGCATTAGAAATTTTTCATATTAAATTAACTGCGACCAATACAGTGCAATTGCATTAGAGTTTGTTCGAGTAAAATTATATTTTTACCTTTAAACAATCATACAGACTGTTCGCGTATTAGAGTCAGTGCATCATTGAAGATTTTGATACTTGCATTGACTGTGTGCAAAGCAGTCTTTGGAAGCAGTTGTAGAGTCAGTGATCGGGCGCATAATAAATTAAAATCATACGCGAATTAGAATCAGTGTTGTTCGCCGTATAATAAAATTTCGGTTTCGCGATAAGAAACTCATCTATAGTTTCTTATTTTCGTTAATACCGCGTTTTTAGATTCACGCGAGGTGCATCACCATGGTGCAATTGAGCTGCATCTCATTGGAATGCATTGTAAGTATTCATTTTTATTAACATTTCATGCGATTTTATTTCATATGATTTAAGATTTGATTGCAGATAACTTATTGCTTTGTTTTATTTTATTTTACAGATATGACAACGGATTTTCTTCCCTTTCAAAGATGTGGGATGAATTCTTCGATGGATCATCGATGGATCTTCGATGAATCTTCTTCAATACTTGCTACGAAGTAGGAGTGTTTTGGAGCCACCGTAGAACTTCTAATGCTAATTGTTCATATTCTATATATGTGTTATTTTACTATGCCACATATATGTGATATAACAGTTGGTAACGAGTGAGTCAAAAAATTTAAAGTCCCTCCAGTGCTCAATCATGCCGAGGATGAAAGGTCCTAATCGGCACGAGTTACTGGTTGTAATTATTTCAATCAATTATTGACGAGCACATGAGTAATTCTTTTTTAGGAATAACTCATGAAAACTGTATATTTCATTATATATTTTATTAGTTCAGGATAGGTCTTCTTGTCTCATCGGTTAAATTTATTTAATTTAACAGTGTAATTTTGATTAATGCACTTTCTTGTGCACTTTGTATTTTGCTCGCGTTAGTATAGTAGTAAAATCGAATATTAATTTATTTATCTCGCGTCCTGAAAAGCATGTAATATTTGTCTTACATGCATTGCTCCGTACTTAATTTATCTAATCGCGATTAATTTCGATACATCAATACTTCGATATTATAAATACATGAGCAAGAAGACAAACTAATTCGCGACGGATAGATTCTTGCAGTTAAGTGGTGGCTCAAAGCCCAGTTCTTTTATTAGAACAGCCAACTTAATGAAAGGAGTCGTCCGAGGTTTGTAAATAAATTAAAAGATATTAAAAAAGATATTTAAARACTTTAAAGTTATATATTATTTATGAAATAAATTGTAGAGTCCTTAGCCGCTTAGATGAATTTTTATAAAATTGTATATTTATGTATTATGTATTTATGTGTATTTAATCACATTTTTTTAGATCAGGATTTTCAGCTTCTAATGTACTAATCTCCCGTTTCTCCCCCCTATACTTTCTGCGTCTCATCTATGCGTGTGCCCAGGGTTTACACGTATGGGTGAGAAACAGTTAGTGTGGGTTTAGTTTTAAGTAATTCCCCTATTGGCGGCTGTCATTGTGCTAGTGGTTGCACGATGTACTTTACACCTGTATGTGCGTATTAGGTAGTGTTTTGTACATCGTTTCGCGATAGTTTTTAATTATTGCATCATTCAATACTTGGAGTACTACTTGTAGAATCATTTATTGTATGAAAAATACGAATATTTGTATTTTTATATTTTTATTATAAATTTGTCTATTTTTTTTTAGTAATATATAAAATCGTTTTGAATGGTAGAGTTCCCAAATTTATTTGTGGAGATTTTACAATACTTGTATTATATTAGTATGCATATATACTAGTATGTACCAGTATTTTTGCATTAGTCATTATTGCAATAATCACTAGCCTTGGCAGACGATTACAGCAAAAAGTACGTATACCCATAAAATTAGAAAACACGCGTTTGAACTAGGGTGTCGGAGGTGCCCCGGGGCATGCTCTCTAGTTTAGGCTTTTGCACCCTGGTGGTATGTGAGAGAATCGTGGAGTGTGTGGGTGGGTATGCAAGTATGTTTGTTCTTTTTAAATATCGGTAATTGGCAGGCAGGTAGCATACTTTTTAGAGCGAATGTGAAAACTTTAATTTTAAGTAGGTAGGATCCAGGAAAGGCACTAGGCTTGCTTCCACTCCGGAGTGGAAATTHCGCCTCCTGGTTTATACAGAATTGTCACAAAATTATTTCATTTCATTCTTTTACGATTGCTTTGTAATTTTATTTTGTGATTCTTTTGTAATTCTTATGATGTATCATGATTCAAAGGGATTTGCAACGTTTTGTAAGATTCATTTCTATTTCGATTCTATCTCGAACGAGATAGAGTCGAACAAATTCGCGAATTCTTTGATGATTTTGATACTTAGTTTTAAGCATTATAATTAACACTTCGCACAATCGTTATTTTCTCTTATAATTAGAAATATTTTATATATAATTTAATATGTAAGGAATGAATGAAATGAAAATATTGCAAGAAAATGCCTTACATTTATTGCATTATTTATTTCTATTTCATTTTATTGCTTGACATRAAAAGTGCGACGTGTTTTTAGGTCATCGATTATAATTATCTGCTTGGACATTCGATTAATTGTGTTCCTGCATATGTGTATGGTCAATGAACTCTAAGTTCATTGATGGTTCACAGGCTTTAATAATTAACGGAAAATGTAAATTAATTTTTTATTAATTGAGAATTAGAATCATCAAACAAAATACGAGTTAATTTGCAAAAAAAATACGAGAGATCTTATCTCGCTTGCGCGTAGAAAATGTCCAATTGCAGTTTTCAGGAATGAAGAAAGAAGAGGCTAAATGCCGAAGAGGCTAATGCCGAAGATGCCTCCACAAATTTGTGGTATCAAGTGGGCAACTATTTGCTATAGAGTTATTTTCAAAGGTTCGACAGCAAGTTCGAACTTTTTGAGAATAGCTGTCTAGTCACATTTCATATTTTATTGTGTTACTTTTTTGCTCGTCACTAATTTGTAGTTGTAATTGGAGATGATGGACCATTCCATCTCCTTGGGACACCAAAGTCGTGTCTATATCGTCATAAGATGCATAAGTGTTTAGTTAGAGTCAAAAGTATTAAAATTTTCGTAATATTAAATTTTCAAACTTAAATAACGATCGGTAAAAATTACAGTAATTTCTCTTTTCTTATTTTGTTTTTGAGATTTTTCTCTATGATTGTGTTTTATTAAATTTGTAATTTTTCTGTTCCATATAATGCAATTTAAAAGTATTTTATAATAATTAATAGATATTAGTTTTTGTAGTCACTTAATAATTGTACTTTTCCTATTTCTTTATTTTTATATATTTTATGTAAATGTAAAATCACGCATTTAAATTTTATTTTATTGCAACGGTAAATAGAGATTTGTGATTAAAATAAATAGAGAATTCAGTTGAAAAGTGCATCTGTAAATTGGACGATTAATGTCAGGCAGTTGTATCACTTGACTGTATGACTAATATAGTTTTCTTTTTGTTACAGGTTATCATCGTTGGATTTTACAACAACTCTTTGAGATTTGTTCTATTTGATTGCTTTAAATGTATACTTTTTAAAATAAATGTATAACTGCATTTTTGAAGGCACACACATTTTTCACACTAAAATTAAATGCAATTATTTAAAATTCTATAATAAATATATAAATTTAAATATTTCTATATAGATATGTACCAAAGATAAAAATAGAATAATAAGGATTTCGTCAAGAATTTTTCTTTTCTACAAGTTAGATATTTAGTAAAACAGATTTTAAACTCTGCCAGTAAAACAGATTTATTATGGGCGGTAAAACGGATTTATCTCTTTTGGTGAAACAGTTTTAAACTTTGTCAGTGAAACAGATTTATCTGGGTGGGTAAACAGACATGGAATCGTAGTCAAGTAATCCCTAATACGGTATAAACTGCAGGTTATAATATGGGAGGTTAGCATTTGAATTATTTATGTACTTTTGTATATTTTTTTTTTTTATAAATTCTATACATAATTTACATAGTAGAAGAGAACAGAATATACATTAACAAAAGTTTACTCAATATTTGTTTTTTCGTCGGTTTTTCTACAAATTTGAATAAATAGATGCTATGTGTTGCATATTAAATCTGGAAATACGAATTATTGTTAAACACTCTCTCTCGTTTTGCTTTTGATTAAAGAAAAATTACTTTAAAATAAAATTATTAAAATATAATATTTTATGTTACTTGCTTGGTTAAACTGTTACAGACAATGATTCAATCGATGATTAGGATGATCATTATGATGATTACAAATATTCAATGTTCTTTCTGGACAAGCGGGATGATGAAATTTCTGAGACAATAAATTTTTCTCATTTTTCAATGCTTGCCTCCCATAGATGCCATATTTTTTTACATCCTTGTCCCTAAGTGTACCGTTCTGCTTCATAGCCATGTAAATTTGTTCGAGTATACCATAACTTCTTAGAAGAAAATCACGTTGAACTAATGCGGTTACTCTTTCTCTTTCTTCAGATTCTGATATTATTTCAGGTTCAAAGGAAGAGAGAACTTTGTTTGAATTTTGTGTTAAGTTTGTTGCTTTTTGCTATTAAGTTGGAAAAATTATATTAAATATATTATATATATAAATAATGATTTTTTTAATTATATACATATTGTCGCGGGATTCAAGTGTAATAGTCTTTAATAATATTAATCATTTACTATTACTTATTTTAAAATTTTTAATACATTATTTTCAAAATTTAATAAAATCTAGACGCGTGCTGGTAAAATAATAAATATTATAAATGATCAATATATATCTTGTGAAAAACAATTTATAAAACAAAACACAAAATTCGTTTCAAATCTTACTGGTATCATCTTTTTGAAATAAGTAAAAGATTTGTGTTCCAATCGTTTGGTAATATTCTTCTGCGGAACATTCGGGCTTTCAGGTGTTAGTTTCTGATCACACCATCTGCCATTAATCCTTTTACTCTCTTGTTCTCTTAATCTGATCTAAAAATTGTAAAAAGTAATATTAATTTACAAATATTTTATTAATATTGCAATGATCAATAATCGAAAAAGGAGGTGATTTTGTTTTTCGCCATAAAAATACCCAATGATACTAGTTTAATTTTGTAGATTACAAAAATCTGCATTTAATAGTTTTATTTTTTCTAGACTAACTTCCTTTTCTTCTCTCTGAATTTTAGAAGCTTCCTCGCGTGCACGTGAGGCTACAGTCTCTTGGAAGACTGTTGTGCCACTTTGTTTGAAAAATTGTTGATATTTATTATCATCGTTGCAAGGATATACTCGATGAAAATTACCAATATGATCGTCCTCCCATTTAAATTGTCTTTCGATATAATATCGATCATTTTTTTCCAATTTCGATACATTAGTCATTGTATTATCATGATTTGAGCTAAAATAACAATAATTCATTCATTTTTTAACTTCGAATTTTTATCACGGCTTTCAAAATAAATAGTTCAATTATTGTTTCGATTTTTATTTTCGTACTTAAAATCTTTCAACGTAACACCCTGAAGTAATCGATCCCTAATACGTCTTCTATCTTCTTCAATGATCTTTTTCTTATCGCACTGTTGAAGATTCAACATTTCAAAGGTGTCAATCAACAGAGATTCCTTAATATCTTTGTCAATTTGTGCATCTGTATGAAAACTCGGTGAATGATTGACCTATTTAAAAAATGGTTACTCAAATAATATCAATGTTCTAATCTTCATTTGTTATACTAACTTCTAACAGATACGGTCTTAGTTTCCAATCGAGTAAGATATCAAATCCTAAAAGTTCAAAACATGCATAAGTTCTGTCATGCGTTGGAAAACATGTACGATAACTGTGTTTAAGAACAGGATGTGCAGCAAGTATAGTTTTTATAATAATCTCGTCTATTTTATTCCATAAATCGTCAACGTCGATGTTTTTAACTTTTAACCATTTCAATAATGTCGAAATTTTCCTAAATAAATCAAATTCATTTATTGTAGTTGATCTAGTATTAAAATACTATTCAAATCAGATATTACATTAAGGATAATTATCATATTAATTCTTTCATTTTATATAGAATAAAAATACTAACCTTTTGCTACCAATTTCTTCGTCGACGATGTACATACGACTGTGTTTATTAACAGCGTAATTAGTTAAATGCATAAAAACGTTGGAAGTGTTATGACAAGATGGTTCCTTGTATCTACTTGTAGCAAATCTAACGAGGAAAATCTTCGGATCATCGAATGATAATTATTCGAATGATTTAATTACCTTGCTAGGCCATCATTGTAGACGTAAATTCGAAGAGGCTCGCACGATGTTATCAATGTATAGATACGAAGATCAAATTTGTATCCGTCTATCAAATAAGGCTGGAATATATAATAAATTATTTGTTACTTAACATATTTTTAACTTTCATTTAACTATATTGATTAATTTTTTACCCTAGAAACATAAACTTGGCAGATCAAACGTTCGTTTGGCTTAACATCTTTCAAACTTCTTGTCAAGTATATCCCACGGCCTTGACAACCAGTATCCGGTTTGATTATAAAAGTTTTAGATCGATGTAACTTCGAGTAAGCAATAGCTTCCCCATGACTATAAATTTCAATAATTTTACATTTTACAAATAAATAATTACGATTGAGAAAATTAGGACAAGTTGATACATTGTAGTTATCTGCATAATTCGATCACTATTAGATGTTTTTTTATTTAAAATACAATTGTTTAACTTACTCGGCAGGAAAACACCAAGTTTTTGGGAAAAAATTATAATCCTTTGGGAAAAGTTTTAGCATACGATTAAGATTTCTAGCAAGTAAATCTTTCCTACAGATTTCTGTCATCCCAGGAAAATGATTGATCTTTTGATATCTTTTCATATCCTTGGCACGTTCTATACTGACACTGAGATCTGTCCAATACAAATTCCAACTACTGTCTTCTGTAACTTCTTTCATTCCAAATCGTGTTGCTACGCGTCTTACTACTTCGTATTTGCAGTTATTTGTGCAAATTGTTAAGTATCTATCAAAGAGAAGATTTATTATATCTTATTCTCCATTTGTTAGTTATATTTATTACAAAAAAATTGAACAAAATTTATTCGTTTGTAATTGTATTGGATTGAATCATAACGTGTCTTAGGTTGATATAAAGGGTTTCTTATTGATAGGTGTGTGTGTATGCATGTGTGTTACCTTCGTTTCTTTTTCTTTTTTGTTTTCGAATTTTCAACATTAATTTTTCTCGATTCAGTATCACTCTCTGCACATAAGATATCTGCCAACAAATTAAAATATAATACCGAATAAATAAAAAAAGGTTTATAAAATAATAAGAATAATTTTATATATGTACATATATACCTCTTTCAGTATCTTTAGTAAAGTGTTTGAAATCATTTCGAATGAGAGTTTTAGAATAATTATTATTACAAATAGATTCACCAAATTCTTCGTAATGATTTTCACGTAAATTTCTTGGTACAGATTTAGCACGAATTTTTGGCACGTTCAATACCGATAGATTATGTTTGGTAATATTTTCAAAGATGTTGTTCATGACAAAAACTTATCATTTCTCTTCTGTATCGAGTCCTTGTTGTCTCGTACATCACTCTCTGATATTATTCTTCTATATTTTTATGCACGGGATGTTAAATTTTTAAATTCATCATTGTTGTTCTCAAAGTATTAGCTAAAAGTATGTATAGTTTTTTTTTGCTTTATCTTTTCGATACGAAATATAATTTACGATCACGACCTGTATCTGAAAACTAACGCGAACGAATAATCAGGACGATAGGATCTAAGTTTATTCTTTATACTGTCACCAGATAAGTTAGATACATTATGTTAATCGATTATCGTTCATTTGTCATTCTCGATTATTTATTTGTTTGAGATTTCAATTTAGTGTCAAAGTAACTTGATTTTATTTAGAAAAATAGAGAAAATAAATGCAATTATTATATTTTATTTAAATAAAATTACATTAGTTATATTATCGATCTTTTATTTTAAGGAAAAATGTCGTAAAAATAATTCACTCTTTCGGTTATATTAGAAAAAAATATATCCAATATTTTTCTAATTAAAGATAATAAAATGGGTATTATTATTGTGTAGAAACGGATTTCATTTTTAGAAGTATTTTACTTTAATTAATTTTTAAAATTAGATCACTTGGATAATTATCGATACACACACACACATATAAACGATAGTCTAGTGGAAAATACTTTAAACGTGTCCGATCTTTTCGAGATATTACCGTGCACTGCGGTATTGTGTGTGCGAGAGCTATTTCCATAGTTTGTTTGCTTCAATTAGATTGTTGCTGACGTATTTAGAATTTCTGCAGTCTCGTATCACGTGCACGAAATCATAAATAGGTCAATGTACCTTTGAACTTATAGTAACTATCCTTCTTTGAACTATCACTTTCGTATTTATGCATGTATGTGTATCTCTAATTATACTTTCTTTTAATTAGTTCTTGTTTTCTTATTTCTTTCTGCATTCAACTTTTCTGTTATAGGATTTTTTTTATTATTAGCTCATTTATTCATACAGTTTTTATTTACAATTTTATTTAAAAAATATTACAATTTAGAAATTTGATTTTTATTTCGATTGAGATTTTGAACAATTTCAACAACGTCGAGTGCACATCCCCAGCTCAAAGTTAAACCAGCACCACCATGACCATAATTATGAATCACCTAATTGTAAGTTAACAAATCTTATCGAGTTTATACATATAACAAAAAAATGGCAAGAGTAAGAGAGAGAGAGAAAAAAACATAGTAATAGATAAAATTAAATATCGATAAACTTACGTGACACTTTTTACCATTTTTTCGGATATAAATTTCTGATTCTAAACGAACTTTTGGTCTTCCAGGTCGCAGGCCAACCCATGATTTTATAATCTCAGCTTTCTATACGAAGAAATAATTATTTTTACGATATTAATTTTAAATATTTATTAACAATTGTTATATATATAAAGTTTGTGGGCTAAAAGTTATTAGGTGATTTTAAAAATTAATTAATATTTGTTGAGATTTGCTAAACTAAAATTTTCCTCTCAGATTGAACGACTAGAAGCTTAGTAAAAATTTGATATAATTTATAAAGAATAATTCCTATAGAAATTGTTGTTACATTTAAAGTTTTATTTGTTACCTTTAAAGATGGAATCATACGATGACATCCTTCGTAAATAAATTTAGAATCCTCATCTCGTACACGAAGATCATAATCATTTACTTGATGAGTTCCACCTAAGACGACATTATTTATACTGAAAATAACAAATTCTTTGAACATTAAAATAAGATTGTAGAGTGTGTCAAAATATGTGAACAGAAAGAAAAGATTAAATATTAATTAATATTGTATAAATAATACTTTGGTATGATATAATTGCAATGATCGTCGTCCACCAGGATACAATGCATCACCCATGGTGCCTTTACCTAAATAAATAAATAAAACAATAAAAAAAATTAATGACGAAATGAACAAGAAAAAGATTGATTTTTAATAACACCTATAAAAACTTTTAGCTTATTTAGAAATGTTTGTATTTCTATATAATATGCATATACATATGTATATACTTATGTATGTGCATATATAAGAAGTATACAGTTACCTTAGAAACTTGACCTCTCACAGCTGTCATAGTGTCGTCATTGACGAGTTCTCGTGCACCAAGACCACTGCAATTTATAACAATTTCATAGCCTTCCTCAATTAATTCACCTAAGTCACGAATCTTTCTTCTCTTCAGTTCGCCACCCAATGCGACAAATTTATTCGTCAGCCAAGGTAAAAAGTATGTAGGCTCGCAAGTATATGTCACGAAATTCCAACCATTTCTAGAATTAGTAATATTATATTCGTAATAAATTAATGTTAATAATTTATGTATAAAAAAAAAAAAGAAAAAAGAAGAACTTTGTTTTATCATATTTTTCATTGATATTATTTAACAAATATAATACAAGGTGTTTCGTGATATGTGATACTTGTTTCAGGAATGAATAAGGAATACTAAAAACAATGTAGAAAGTTAATGAAAACACGTACACATAATTGGCTTTATGTTCCTTGTTCAATTTTGTTAATTCATCCGTAGTTAAATGATGAACACCATAAACTAGTTGTAGCCATGATAAATCATTATTTATTTCACTGGTGACACGAGTTGTTGGTAAAAGGGAGAGCCCAATTTCTTTAGATAGACCAGATTTCCAAAATTGTTCAAACAAACGATGCGTTTTTCCGGCCCATTTTCTAATACGAAATTGTATTTCATTTTTCAAGTTAAAGAAATGAACGATTTTTAAAATGAAATCTCGCAATAATATTAATTGTCGGTTCATAAATTCACACTGATAATAAAACATCGAAATAAGAACAAAAGAAATGCATTTATTCGACGCGACAAAATAAAACTTACAAAATATCTTCTTTCGAAGTATCACCGAGTAAAAATGGTCCCCAAAGACCAGCACTTCCATCACCTGTTGTATTTGGTGAAAAAATATCCGAAAATATAGTCACCTGTAGCTCAGGATTATTTTCTTTCAATGCAAATGCACTCGTTAATCCGATAACACCTGCTCCGACAACTGCAACGCGCATTTTTTATTTTTCTTTATCTTAATTTACAAATAAAAAACAATTCCAATTATATAATTAATAAATATTCGCGTAAGAGAGACAGTAAAAGCGAATAATTGTTTACGAGATGAAGTTCGAATTATGACTGACATTAAATGTCACTTTGATAAAAATAAATTTGATGCAAACATCATCTCTTATCGAAAATTATCTTTTACTCGTTAAGCTTTTTACTTTCCACTTGACTTACATACATTCGATTAATTTAATCTTATAATTAGCTGAACTGATGTGTGTAAATAATATACACAAATACATTAAATAATCATAATTTATTTATTTATTTTACAAGAATAATGAAACAAATAATTAAACTGATTTAAATAATCCAATTCTTTTGTCTTTTTTCTTTTTTTTTTGACTTCGATTTAAGATTTATTCAATAAATCAAGATATATATTCACACACACACACACACATGAATTGAATTAAAATAATTTATTATATAAATGAATATGAATATATATATTCAATATATATATGAAAATTATATAAGAAATCTTCTTTTTATATCTAATTTTAACGATGATTGTAGCACATTTACGACTTTCCGTATACTAAGCATAATGCCTTCTTTAATTACGGCTGGATTATGCTAAGAATATGGGAATCGTCAAGGCGACATTCAATGATTTCATTGAATCATATCGGTCAATTCAGTTTCGATGATATTCTCGTAATCTCGTAGTCAATAAAAAGAGCATAATACCTTATAATTAATTTAACAAAGAATTAATACTCTGTTTATTGATAACGTGACACGAAAAGAAAATGATTATATTCACATAATCTAATATCTTAATAAAAAAAAAAACAAACTCATATTCTTACCTTACGATAATGCACAAATTTTCGATTGAAAATAATCAAACGCGACGCGTTAATTCGTTCACGTAATTATCATCGGATTTAATTTATGAATTTTTGTTATAACGATAATGAATCCCTTTTAAATTTGGAATAACTGTAAATGAAATTTTCTTAATCGATGCAGAAGAAAATTCAATTCACTCGGTTGTCGATCGTGTCTGATGTTAAACTGAATGACGAAGATGCTGTCATGAAAACGTCGACAAAGATTACTAAGAGAGTTTTAGATATAAAATATTTGTTTACACGTTATTCGAGCCTACTCAACCTACTCGCCCTTATAATCAAAACTAAAGATCCTATCAATGTTTTATTACAACGCGTATGGTCTCCAACGCGATGAATTACTCCTTTATTTTTTATAGTCATCAATTTTCAAACGGTATCAATGTGCGGTCTCATTGATGTAATAAATGAACGTATGCAATTAGTATACCAAAAGAAAAGGTTGAGTACCTCTGATATATATACGATCCCACTAGCCATAATATAGCCCGGAAATGCGATAAAGGGTGGCAAGTGATAGAATCAAGCATGCAATAGTATTATATTTATAAATGTGTGTCCCTACTTCGTAAAGAATAAAGAAACAAATAGAAAATTAATTTCAATAAATAAATAAATCTTTCTATAACGTAAAAAATGATTATGAGAGATAAATGAAATAAAATAAAAATATCATTAATTAATATTGTCATCCATCGGTTGCTGAAATTTCATATTAATTTTTTCATATCTCTCAAGGAATTATTATATGACAAGGTAAATGTGAAATAAAAAAATAAAAGGTAATCAACAAAATGTATAAATTGTCATTAGGAATTGATATTAAAAAATTTCATTGAATTTGTTGATTAAAAAAAATTAATTAATTATAATAATTGTGTCACCTTCTCCGATCGTTGATATCTTGAAATTATTTTCGTTTACATTCTTTTTGTGGCAACAGGACGCCTTGATACCTAACACCATTTACTTCCATTCCAAGAACAAGAACATTGCTGGAATCTTTAAAACAAAAAGATAATGTTTAAGATCTCTATAATAATTAAATGAATAATTTTATATTTGAAAATATTGAAACAAATAATTGTACCATGTTCTTGTAATGGTTTTCTTGTAGTTGATAGATTAGTATTTGAAAATGGTTGATCTTGACCAGTCACTGTCGAGGACCTCATTGGAGACCTTTTTATAATTTTGTTTTTTAATTATTAACTATTATTTTTTAAAGATTATCATTGATGGTATCATTAAAGTATAGCTAATTGTTTAGTACAATGCAACAAACATTTTTCTAATTATATGTAAAAGATTAAAATAATTTATTAAAAGTGTTGCTATATCAAATTTACGAATACCTTTGCAAATAAATATAAAAAATAATTGCACAAGATATTATAGTAAAATAATTAAATAATATTTGTAAATAAGAATAATTAGTAATTATATACCCTTGTTTGTCTTCTTTTCCACGATTATTATCCATAATGTTATACTCTTAGAAAGAAAAATTAATTAGTAAAGGTAACACAAAATTAATGACAAAAGAAAAAGATGAAAAAATGAATGGTCGTATCTATAAAATGAATTAATACGATCAAGGCAAAATAACTTTAACGAATATGCTCGCTACGATTCTTGATATCTTTAAGTAGTCCCCCCCTTCCAATCAGCGATCAACTTACACCTATTTAAAACACTTCTATCGATACCATAATCAATATTCTAACACAATCGAAATCGATTGAATGTATTCAACGTTTATATTTTGTCGAGGAACATATTTCTTCCTATTTTAAATGGAATAGTAAAATAATTTATTGTTTTTGTTTTTTTTCATATTTCAGTATTTTTCAAATGATTTCAAACTATTTTGTAATCATTGATTAGTGTTCCTTAACAATTTCTTGCACAGTTTTTTCCATCATTTCATTGACTATTCTTAGTGATTGATCAATCAGAGCTTGATGCATCCTTAACAGTTAAATTTGTAGATTGAAAATTTTCGAACTAACTTCCGAAATTTGATATAACAAATTTTTCTAAAAAATGCATCGAATTTCTTTTTTATTTGAATTCATATTTAAGATATAAATTAATCGTTTATCATGAGATATAAATAGTTATCATTGTTGCGATGTGCACCTGATCATAATAATTAAGAATGGTCGATGAATAAGTGATCATATTGATTGATAGTTTCGGATAACAGACACCCAAGTTAAAAGTGTTATTTGAAACTGTTGCTGAGTTGATTGTAAGGATTATGTCAGTTCTTTAACATTTATTTCATACACGTAATTTTATTCATTATCAATTAATATTGCGTTAGTAATATTTCCAATATTAATGTACAGGGTGTCGTAGTTTTAAAAATGTTTTAAAAATATTTTATTTAAGAGTTAGAATCTTTTCAAAATATGATATTTATTAATTATTTTCATAATTAATAATAAATTTTTAAAATGTCTTTCTTATATGCTTCTATTAAACATATAAGAATATTTCTTGCTCTTATAGAAATAATATTGGATATATTTAGAATAAATTCCTATAGCTGGGTTTCTATTTCTGTTACATTTTCGTAATCTCAATTTACATCGCGTAACCTTGTAAATGAAAGTTCTGTAAGTTAAGTAATGTAAATAGTAACAGTTAAATAGAATTATTCGTGTTCTATATTTGGCTTCGTTTAACGAATCTTAACCAAATCTATTGAATTTCAACGTTTAATTAATATTTCAAATCGGTAATAACTTCATAATTACACCGCAAGGTGTGCTCAGAGAGACTATATTAACATTTGCGAGCAGGTAGGGTCGAGTGTTTGAGTTTTAAGGACCAGAAGTGCAATACATTTAATCGAGCGGTGAACTTTTAATGTTTTTCCTGAAAAAAATTATAAGGTAACTGATCAGTTAATATTGTTAAATAATCCTTAATAATTAATACACTTTAATTTATGGTTACGTGTAAAAGTTTCTAATCAGATAGATTTTTCATGTTTCCTATTCAATGATAAAATCCTTAATACTATATAAAAAAAATAATTAATACTATTTATTTGAAAAATTAATGAAGTATTGTGTTGAAAAGTTTGGCTTCAATTTGAATTTTGGGTCAGCCGAAAATTTACGACGAAAACATGAGAAAATTATCTAGATGGTAACTTTTGCTCGTCACTGTATAAAATTATAATTATAAATACATATATTTATATATTTAAAAATTGTTTTTTTAGGTTAAAGTTAAAATGACCGAAGAAAGGAAAAGTAGTACTTCAAACACTCCAAAATTTGAAATATTAAAAAAACCGGTAAATATATTATTGAATATTTAAAATTATACGTTATAGGGATGTATTGTTCTTCTGTTGTGTATATGGTTTGATTTTTTTTTTTTTGGATTTCTTCACTTTCTTCTTCTTTTCCCTTATTCGATATAATAGGAATTTTCCATTTATTTATAAATTGTTTTATTGATATTTACAATTATTATATATATCTCGTGAAAAATTATGCTTCCTTTGTATCAATTAAGGGATATACTTTATATATTTATATTTATATATGCGATTATTAGATCAATATTTCTAATCATTTTTAGATTAGTGAGGATGATGAAATAAAAGCATTTTGTAAAAGATTACCGAAAATAGTAAGTGTTATATTGAACATTTAAAATTATACGTTTGTATTATTGTACGTTTAATATGATTTATTATTATTTTTCTTTTATATTTAATTTAATTCTTTTTTTTGTTTTTTTTTTTGTTTCTTCGTTTGCCTTTCTTCTTAGGAATTAAATGCTAATCTAACTGGTTGTCTTAGCGTGTCAACAGTTGTTAGATTATACGATCGTCACCCTTGCGAAGAAAAACTGAACAAATATTTAGATTATTTTCATTCGCCTAAAAGCTTTGAACGGTATATGTCATTCATTTTTAATTTTTTTAATTGTTTCTTTCTTCTTGCGACAAATCGTATTAGAGTTTAATATAAAATAAAAAATAAAACAAATAAGAGGAAGTTAGTGATAAACAATCTCTTACGTATTTTACACATTTTTTGTTTTTCTTTTTTTTTTCTTTTTTTTTCTTTTTATAAAATATAATATTATTATTATACTTTTATTTTTTTTCCCATAAATATATATATATATATATATATATATATAAATATATTTTACAATAAATTGTAATAATTATATATAAATAGTGGAAGTAAAGTAATGAAAATCGAAAAGGAAAGAGAACATACACGTTATCATTTTCACATAATTTATTATTATAATAGTTTGTTCTTTAATTGAATTTATTTTTGTCAAACAGATATAAAAAATTATATGCCATGAATGACTGGCTGATAGGAACCCCGGAATGCATTACAATCGCAGTTTGCGACGTAATCAGAGAATTCCTGGATGATAATATTTGTTATTTAGAATTAAAAGTTACACCGCAATTTATTGGTACAACATTGTCAAAGGAACAATATATTATGTCTGTGATAAATGCTGTTCGGTAAAGAAAAAAATATGAAAAATAATTAATTAATCAATAATTTTGTTATTAATAAGAAAAATGTAATATTAAAGTGTCTTTTTCTTTTATTTTAGTTTATCTGAAGCTATGCTACCACGAATAATGGTTAAAATAATATTTTCAATAAATCGTGCTGATAATTATGCAGACTGTTTAGACACATGCACATTGGTATTTAAATATTACAAACAGTATCCTGAATTAATTGTTGGTATTCAATTATATGGTGATCCCTTTTACAATAATTCTTATCTTAATCTTTTGAAAATATGTCGGGAATATGATTTAAAAATTATCATGAATTGTGCTGAGGTATATATAAATACTTTTATACAATCAACAGGGTGATTACAAAAGAAATATTGCATGATCAATGATTGGGGTCAACCATAAGTTGATATAAGTTTTTTAGTTTTAGAATTATGGTCTTTCAATGTTGGAATATTTCTTTGTACTCACGTTGTCGAATATATGATTTAATATATAAATGAAATATATAAATTATTATTATACATTTTATATAAATGTAATGTTGAGTATGTGCCAGTTATTCAAGGAAAGGTTTTTATAGATTCCTAACCATTCGGAAACGTGGGAAATGATTGATTTTAAACCTGAGAGATTAACTCATTGTACTTGTGTTCATGCTACTTTCAATGGCGCTGATTATCTGTTCGAAAAATTATTAGAATCTGAAATACCGGTTGGTTAGTAATTTGATATATTTTTCAAGATTAACATAATTTTTACGTTTTTTTCTTTACCTTCTTTTGTTTGTTTCTATTTAACAGAATTATGTTTGACTTATGATGTTGATGTCAATAACGTAACCACATACAGAGAACACATATTCAAATATTTATACCAGAACAAGCATCCAATAAGTATTTCTGTAAGTATAAACCATTATTTGGATTATATTTATATCAAATAGATATTAATTAAATCAATATTTATAGAAAAAAAAAACTGAGTGTGAAACATTGCACATATCAAATATTTTATTTCTTTTTTATAAAAATTACACTTTTGCACACATCGATATGATCTAATATGTGTATTCGTGGACGTTTTTATCATGTTACAGATGTTTAATAATTCGTAATAATAATCAAATTCGAACGTTTCTAATACAATACATTTGTATATAGGTTTTTATTATTTTTTTTTTTTATTTACAGACTAGAGATAAAGGAATTTGCAAAACAACATTGTCAGAAGAATACGCAATCGCGGCTATTAACTTCAATCTTTCAAAAAAAGATCTCTTAGACTTGTCGAAATCAACGATAAAACAAATAAGTATCAACGAGAAAGAGAAAGATATTTTATATCACATTTTTACAAATTTCGAACAGGATGAACAATTTGAAACGAAAATGTTTTGATATGAGATAAGTAATTTTATGATATATTAAAAATAAAAGAATATTATCGAATATTTCCATTATTCATGTAGCTTCCAAATGAATTAGTATGATTAGATTTTAATTTATATTAGCTTTAATTTATATAAAGTATTGAACAATTTAAATAATATTTTTCATCTTCATGGCAAATGGGATAATTTAATTCACAAAATGAAATAGTCTTGTGACAAATTATTCCTTTACATAAAGAGAAAAAGAGAGAGAGACAAAGAGAAAAAAAAAAGTATTTATATTGAACATACTAAATACATGTTTTCTGAAAATTGTGTTCTATGATAAATATGGCTGTTATATATTAATAAGTATAGTACTTATATATCAATTTAAAAATTTTTAACTATAATTACTCAAATCTTTCTAAATTATTATATATAATCTTATTACGTTTGCTTCATTAATTTTCCAATAATTAAGCAATAATTTTGACTCAACGTCTATAGTATTAGAAATTATTTCAGTCAATTAGTGTTTTATTTATATAACTCATTATTGGTAAGGTATTTGTAATTCCTATGGTGCTTTAATAGGTTAAGTTATATCAACAATAATACATAAAATAATTAATATTTTATTAAAATAATTTATTATTAGGCTCGATACCAAAGATAATAGATAATGACTGTGAAAAATAATATGACTCTAATGAGTTTATACCGTGGTGATACGATTTAATGCATTCAAATTATCTTTACGTAAATTTATAGCGCGTTATAGCTGACAATATAAAAAAAAACATAAAAAGAAAAGAATCATTTCGAAAGCTTTCACGTATAGTTTTTCATTTTTTTTAATTTTCATTACTTTTTAACTGTCATTTAAATTTTTTCATTTCATTTATTTTCATCGTTATTTTTCTTTTTTTTTTCTT